CTGCTGCTTCTGCTGGCACACGGTCTAGGCATCTCTTTGCTGACTCAGATGTTTCAAATGATAAATGATAAAATCCAGAGGTTGTGGCATGCAAAATGGAGAGACAGCCAAGGTCTGGCAGTAGGTGCTCCTTTGTCTGTGTGACTGTCCTGGCCTCTGGGAGATGGTGAAGGGAGGAGAAGCAGTGACATCAAGCTGGTTGAAAAAGTGTCTGGCAATCAAGGTTTGCTGGGGGAGTAAGACAGGGGAGTGAAAAGCTCTTCTTGGAGCAGGGGAGTGATGGGTGAGTGGTCCAGTTGTCCCTTTTCTGCTCTTCCAAGAGGTGACAGTGTTGGATGCCAACCAGTGAATTTGCTGCACTGTAACAATTGGTTTACGTTTTGTTCTCCTTTTTGTCACTGCTCTCAAGATCTCAGCGGTATCCCTGCAGGATGGGAGGGAGGGGGGTGTGGCTTCCACGGCAAGCAAGAGCTCCGTGTGTGCTCCCAAGAGGTGCTGTCACTGCACGAGAGGGGGTACGAGGGAAAGGGGAGAGGGAGAAGTGAAAGAATCCCTGGATTCAGAGCCGGATTCACACTCAGCCTGATAATTTGAAGGTGAAGTGGTAGTTAGTGCCATTGAATGGTATTTACAAGCACTTCAGGGCGTAGGCAGAGCACTGAGACTGCTCTGCAGAGACTGTGCTTGCAAATGGTTCCCTTGGCGTTGGGGTGGGATGTGCCTGTAAGAGACTCTGTGCACATTTCCAATGAGGCATTGACAGGTCGCAAGACCTGAACCGCCACCTTTTTGGGAAGTTTTTTTGGGATGTAAACACAGTGGAAACCTTTCCTAAGAAGGAAATATCTGAAATGTTTCTGCTGACACCCCTTCCCCCCTCCCTTTCATCTGGTGGGAAGGACAGCACGTACCAGCCAGCTCCTGAGCCCCACACGGCCCCTCTCTCACTCCCCAGAGAACTGGGAAGCTAAAAGTGAGAAAACCTGTGGGTTGAGCTGAAGACAGTTTAATAGGCAAAGCAAAAGCCACATACACAAGCAAGGCAGAATTCCCCACTTCCCATGGCAGGCAGGTGTTCAGCCAAGCCCAGGAAAGCTGGGATCCATCACGTGTAACAGGGACTTGGGGAGACAAATGCCATCACTCCAAACTTCCCCCCTTCCTTCTTCCCTCATCTCCATATGGTGTGGGATATCCCCGTGGTCAGTTGGGGTCAGCTGTCCTGGCTGTGTCCCCTCCCAGCTCCCTGTGCACCGCCAGCCCACTCACCTGTGGGGTGGACTGAAGAGCAGAAAAGCCCCTGATGGTGTTTAATTGCTGCTCAGCAACAACTAAAACACCCCTGGATTATCAACACTGATTCCAGCACAAATCCAAACCAGAGCCCCACACCAGCTGCTATGGAGAAAATTGACTCTAACTGAGACAAAACCAGCCCAGGCAGTGATTCCTTTATCTTTGACACAGCTTTATTGCAGGGATCCTACTCCAGCTGGGAGGAGGACAGTAAGAAAAAGAGCTGGACTTCCAAAAAACAGGGACACCTGACCCTGCAACGCCTTGGCACTTCAGAAAAGGGAACATGAAACCACAGTACTTTAAAAAGCAAGTACTGAGAAGGGCAGTGATTTGAGAAGAAATGCCTTTGGGTGTCTCCTGGTTTTGAGGAATGACAAGCTGCTTCTCCTGCCAGCTGTAGCAGGAGCTCCCTCGGTCGTTTATCATGAGCTTCACCTCCATGGATCAAGCCCTACTGTTTCTCCCTTGCAGATGGACAGACATGGAGCCTCATGGACCTTTCCTGATGCTGGTTGAGGCATTTGAATAGAAATCACAGTGCTGACGCCACTCACAAATTGGCCAACCCAAAAGCGAATACGACCCAAGTGCAAGGAAGGCTGGACCTCGAGAGCTGTGTCCAGTTCTGGGCCCTCATGGAAGAGAGACATGGAGGGGCTGGAGCGTGTGCAGGGAAGGGAGCAGAGCTGGGGAAGGGGCTGGAGCAGCAGGAGGGGCTGAGGGAGCTGGGGGGGCTCAGCCTGGAGAAAAGGAGGCTCAGGGGGGACCTTCTGGCTCTGCAACCCCCTGACAGGAGGGGGGAGCCGGGGGGGGTCGGGCTGTGCTGCCAGGGAACAAGGGACAGGAGGAGAGGGAACGGCCTCCAGCTGTGCCAGGGGAGGCTCAGGTTGGACAGGAGGAGGAATTTCCTGCTGGAAAGGGTGGTGAGGCCTTGGCAGGGGCTGCTCAGGGAGGTTTGGAGTGCCCATCCCTGGAGGTGTCCCAGGAAGGCCTGGCCGTGGCACTCAGTGCTCTGGGCTGGGGGACAAGGTGGGGATGGGGCACAGGTTGGACTCGATGATCTGGGAGGGCTTTTCCAACCTCAGTGATTCTGTGATTCTGTGAAGGTGCCCCCCAGAGGTGTCTCCCTGCCCTGCTCATTGGTGTGGCCAGTGCAGGGACACCCGTGGCAGAGAACTTGAACTCCACGGGAGGTTCCTCACTGTGACATTTTGGGGACAATGCAGCACGTCTGTGACACAGGCCTCTCCTGAACATAGATGGCGCAGCAGTTTAACGAATATCAAACCGTTAATTCCAACGCCCTGGTCCTGAAGCTCCACAGGCTGCTCTGCTCCAGCTCGGTGCCTGCACTGGCACAACCACCCCAGGTTTGAAAACGGTGGCAGGCAGCTGGGGAGAAAAATCACCTCTAAACCCACAGCATCTCCAACTAAAACAGTGTGTCTGGCCATGCCCTGAGACTGCAGGCTCTGCCTGACCACAGGCCTGCTGGTCTGTCCTGCTCCTGCAGATGCAGCAGTGAAATAAGTGTTTAAAATCCAGCAAGAGGCTGCCAGCGCCCTCAAAACCTTCTCATTCCTCACGGCAGTTAAGGGATTTTGCCTTCATAATCACCCTGTGATAGGGAAGGCAAGCATTCTCCTTTGGCCAGCTGTAAACAGATCTGTGGGATTAAGTGACTGGAGTAAGGTAAGGCAGGAACCTGTGGTTGAACTGGAAATTTTGGGATGGGTCTGTGAGCCCTGGCTCCTTGCTGTCATCAGCAGACTGCCTGCCTGAACCAATAAGCAAATTTGCATCTTCTAAGTGCCTATCACATCACTGAGCTCGGGGATTTGCACTGCTGTCTCAAGTTCCTGATTTCTATTATTAGGTCTATTATATATTTCTGCGTGTTGGATTTGCCGTAGTAAGAGATAATAAAAGATACAAAGAGATAATAAAAGATACAAAGAGATAATGTTGTATCCCCAGACTCTATTTCAATGTGACTGTGACAGTAAGGGTATGAAAACTGTGCTTAAACCAGGCTATTATTTTAATATATCTACTTCCCCAAGATGTAAAATCCAGAAAAAGGAGCTATAACTGGAGGTGGTTGCAGTGCAGATATACACTGAGTTTCACTGTAAATGAATTGGTAGAAAATTGAGAGGGAACACGGCTGAATGAACAGGGAGATGATACTGTTGGGTAATTTAATTTTGATTTCCTTCCGTTTGGTGGATGTGTTTCTTTAGCTTTAGTTTGTGTCAACACTGTATTTCACAATGCAGTTGTGAACTGTATTTCACAATGCAGTTTTTTACTGGTGCGGGTGCAGATCTTTCTCCTTTGATAGCAGGACACCGGAGGTTTGTTTGCCCCCTAGGATTGTTTGGAGAGTGCCTCATTTGAATGAGGAAGAGTATTCCACAAGCTGCCACTTGTTGCAGCTCTGCCGAGGTGGGGCACGGCAGGGAGAAATGCAGGGCATGTTGATCACTCATCCCAAGGCTTTGTCTGGAGGGCATTCCTTCTGCGAGGTACACTTCTTCCCCTAAGGAAAAGGAGACATTTCCCCTACAGCAATGTTTAACTATTAAAATTCCCCCTCCACAATTTCTCTAGGAAATACCCAGGAGCGTTTGCCCACCTCACCAGGTTAATCAGGATCTTTTGGTTGCACGCCGAAGGTACCTTCTGCCCTGCTTCCAAACCATGCAAAAGCACAATGGATGGTGTAACATGGTTGCTTTGTTACTCTCTAATAACAATTTTCTTCCTTTGCAATCTCTGATTTCATTGAGGTGGCTGCTGTCCTATTTTTAGAGGGAATTTTCAGCTGAGGTCTCTCACAGCTGGTTAAAATGTGTAGCTAAAAAGTGTGTAAAACAAATCCCAAGGGAGAAGCAAGACCCATCCTAAACAAACTTTGCTGAACAGGAGATTAGATTTCAAGGAGTAACAGAGTTTATTATAGGGAGTATTTGCTTTAAGGGCTGCCAAGGATAAATCAGGAAGGAGAAAGGCTCATGAGGTAGCAGGATGAGTGGAGGAGATTTTAGGAATATGGGAAGAAAAGCAAACCACCATGAAGTGAAGCTGGACAAAGAAAGAGAACACAAATATAGGAAAACAGGTTAACAGCTGTGATGGGGAACTGGATAAAGAGTATTGAAACAAAAATCCACTCAGATTGGTGCATATAATTAAAGAAACTTGCTGAACTGTTCTTGCTTTCCATTTGCTTGTGCTGGTCATGAGTGTTCAACCAACCGAGCTGTGGCTCAAAGAGTGATTCTTTCAAAGCTGCAGGTACAAGTATTTGCACAAGCAAACAGCAAACTCATGTCGTGTTAATATTAGCACTGCAATGACTTGCCTTTTCCTCCAGTCAGGAAATGGAAACAATGGCACAAAACTTAATGTGACCAACAGAACTTAATTGCCAACAGCAAATGGTCCCAGGGAACTGCTCAAGAACAATTGATGGATGCAAACTGGGAGATTGCATCACTTTGAGTCACAAAGGAGTCTATGGAAATAGAAGTGTTGCTGGTTATTCCAAAGATAGAAAGTCATGGTGTCAGTGGATAAGCTGACATAAACATGTAAACACCTTCGGTCAGGGGGAAATGAGGGGAATGGTGATGTGGAGGGGAAAAGAACCAGAATCTGAAGGGCAGTGTGAAGGCAAAATGATTGATGGGGGGAGGAAACAAGGGAATTTGGAAATCTGATAAGAAAACTGTCATCGCAGTGCTCTTTCTAAGTAGAAGTGCTCAGAAGTTGAATAGCCTGTTGTTTCACCAATACCAGTGTCAGGCTCACTGGGCTGCCCCTTCCTCCCTCGTGAATGAACTTCAGATGATGTTTGCTCTTTTCCAGCACTGCTGCATCACTGCATCATTTTCTCTGCCTCCTGACACAACAGGTAACTAAAGATAGCAACTCTTTCCTACGCAGTTCCTTGACAGCTGGCAGTGAATGACCCGTGTCCCTACAGATGTATTTTTGGTTCAGTTATTCCCTCAGTTGTGTTTCACTAATCCTAAGTCCTATTATCTCCCAGACTCCTGCTCCCTTCACCTGTGCAGTGACTGTAACTGCCCAGGGTTTCCCTCATTCCAGTAGTTTACCTGAACCCTTAGAGGGCTTTTGTGCTTTTTCTGTCTCCTCACCCCATTACTTTCATTTTTGTGTGTTTTCCTTGTCTTTCTAAGGCCTTAGAAAAACCCTTCTTTGTGATCTGGCCCCCAGTGCTCCTTGCCAGCCCTGCTTTGGAGGTGAGGGGGAGAAAAATGCTGCTCCTAGGGTGGTTTTTTTTTTTTTGGGATTGAATCTCAATGAAGACTCCAGGAACACCTGGCAGGTGTAGCCAAAATAGAGCTGTTTATTGGGGGGGAGTGCAAACCAGGAAAACACATGCGGTGCCTCCCGCCGGTGGCTGAAAAAAATGGGAAAACCCACTTTGATGAAGTATTAAAAGGTTGTTTTGCTTTCACAGATTCCACAGAAAATTCACTACAGCCAGAAATTAAAATACCAGTCCGTACACAATGGCAGTATTGACTCCAGGAGTGTAAGGGAGGCACTTGGGATCACGCCCCCGTCTTTCTCGGTCTCTTTTTTGACTATATAGGGAATTTGGTCAGCTAACTGTGGTCTTGAATCACGCCCACGGCAGATGACTAATGCTGCCCTAAACAGAGATTTGTAGTACAAACCCTCACCATTTCCACTGAATGGAGCTGGTGCCCTGGCAGACTGTGGTGCTGGCAGAGAGTGCCACAGGGGGTGACCTCGGCCAGGCCAGTGGCTCCCTCTCATCCCAACCACTCCAGGAGAAATGGCCAGTGGAGGAAAGCCCTCCTGAGCTGGGACAGCGATGCCAACCACTTCGCTCTGGGGATTATTTAGTGGTACCCTCCCTGCTCCGTGCCTTCCCAGGTGGATGGTGCTTGTGGGAGCTGGATACAGCCAGGCTTCCTCCTTCTGCTCCCAGGCTTTTTGGGGGAACAAATACTGTGGAGCAAGAGTGGCTTGCTCTCAGATAGAGGGGTTGGTGAGAAGGAGGGGAAGGGGCTGTGGAGCTCTCCAATGCTTCTCCCCACCCTGTGGGCAGTGCTGATGCCTTACCCCGTAGCTAATCCCAGTTTATCCCAGGTTTCTCCAACATCCACCTTAGAGTTTCCTTTTTTTTTTTTTTTTTGCATCCAGATCTTTATCTTTTGCTTGTTTGTCCAGTTTTTGGGAGAAACCTCCTCTCTTGGGCCTCCCCAGGATGGGCAAAACCCTGACTGAGCCCCCCATCACCTCTTTTCAAGCCCTGAGCACTCACCATCCCTTCTGGAGCCCAGAATACACTTCCTAGAGAGGAACCAGATGGGAACCTCGGTGCTGAGGCTGCCTGGCTGCTGGTGGTACCAGGGGGGATGTGTCTGGGGGGCTGCTGAGAGCACAACCAAAGCAAGAGGCTCCCTCAGTAAAGATCACTGAGCAGCTCCTGTCTCCCAGCGAATTCTGGCCCACTTTCCCGGTTAATCTCTTTTCCAGCAGTGCTGTCACACCTTCCCATTCTCTTTCCTCGCAGCCGCTTCAGTTTTCAAGCTGTTTGTGGCGAGGATGTAATTATTTAAATTGCTCTCCGTAGTTACACGCGGGCTGTAAAACTAAGAGCTTGAAACAGTGCCCCAGCCTAGATAATGGGCCCTGGAATCTGAAAGGCTGAATTCCAGCGCAGGTAAATTTGCAGCTGGCTACAAATGTCACCAAATTCCGGCTGAGCCACCAAAATCCCTGAAATGCTCCTGAAAAACTTTTTAATGCATTTGAGTCCCTCTTTCTCCTGTTTTGGTTTCATGGACAGGGCTGTGGCAATGAACCTGTGTCTGCCCCAGAGGTCGGTGCTACAGGAGGGTGATTGTCGCTCATTAAGCACTTAGGAAGAAAAAAAAAAGCCCCTTGAACACACATTGAAACCAAGCTTTTGAATTGAAAATGCACTCGGCGTAAGGTAGTTTGTTGATTCAAAACTCACGTGAGGAGAAAAAAAAACCCTAGAAAGTCGTGGAAGTGTGGTCTGACAGACTTTCCATCTGTAAAATGCTCGGAGTTCAGAGTCTGGCAGGGCTCAAAAGCCTTGGCAGAGCTGCTGGGGAAGCTGCTGGAGGGCACACCTTGTGCCAGCTGGGCTCTGCTCACCTGTGCCAGCCCAGAGGTGACGGGGTTTGCCAGGAATAGAAGCCCTGGTCTTTTGCCAGCTTGTATAAATACTGTTCCCGACAGAAAAACAATAAAGTCGTCGTTTTTCCCCACCTGCGAGCCATGAGGGAAAGTCAGGGGCACTCCTTTTACAGCGGTGCTTCCCTTTGATGGCTCCGTTTCTTATCAGCACAGCTCTGCCAAGTGGCTGGAGATACTCAGGGTTTGGTGTTTGAGATCCCAGAGCTCAGAAATAAACGTGGGTAAGAACAGGCAGGACAGCAAATGCAGTTTTCTTCTCATTTCATTGAGTCACCTGGTACCTGATCCTCGGGGCAACGTGAATGAAAAATTCAAGTGGGCAGGCAGCTCAACATGCAAAACCCCATCTATTCTGTGTAAAGCAAGCAAAGACCTGGCTTTTTGGGCTGGATCCGCTTGAAGCAGGGCTGGAGGAGCACAAGACTGGAGATGGGGAGGTTGTAAATCCCCACTCCCGTCCCTGTTGCTCAACCTCACTGTCCCCACCTACGTGGCAGCAAAACCACCCACGAGCTCTGCAAAGTCCTCTCACATTTTTCACACTTTGCCTTTTTCATAAAACTGAGCTCCAGCACTTCCAGCCCCGCCAGTGGAGAAGGTCAGGGCTGCTCTCAAGAGCTGGGTGTTTCCACAGAGTGAAAAAGCAGCCCTAAACTCAAGTCCCCAGCAGGAAACATTTCTTACTCATGCCCTGCTCATACATTACTCTGCCCCGGCGGCCAAGCTCATGGAGAGCAAACGTCCCTGCCAGCCACAGGGATGGGCTCCAGGTGTGAGAAAGTCCATGGGCTGAGAGCAAACAGAGCACTCTCACAAAGGGAAAGGAGGCTCAGGAGCTACCTGCTCTGGGGAGGCTGAGCCCTGCAGTCCCAGACAAGCTGCTCTCACTTTGTTTCAGTCTTCCCACCCAAGGAAAGAGAATAATATTTGCTCGGCGCCTTCGCCGGGGCGTTGGGAGATGGCAAGGAATGTCTGCACAGTGCTGCAAACATAGAAGGTGTTAGAAAAATGTGAGGCCTTTAGGTGCCAAACAGTGTATTTGAACACTGCAGGAAAGGGAAACACGGCGCTCAGACAGCCGTGGGGCGAAGCAAGACAGGTTTATTGCAGACAGGAATGTTTAAACTCCCAAATACAGGAGGTGACGGGCTGAAGGCACTCCATGAAGGGCTGCCCATTGGCACCAGGCAGCAGAGGCAGAGAGGTGGATGGTTCACCTGCATGGGCTGCCACGTCTCTCACTGGGCCAGGCATGGAATGGTCGGGAGGGAGCTTGGCAGAGGTGGGGGTGTGGAAAGGAGGTGGATGTTTTTGACAAGTCACCTATGGATAGAGCCAGAGGGTGCTGCAAGCCCTTGCCTGCACACACTGGTTATCAGGCAGGGCATTTGTGCTCCTGCAAGTGCTGGAAGTGCTGCCACTTCACCCCCCAAGGCCGTGTCCCCTGAGACAGGCAGGTCACTGCTCTCATGGGATGCACTGGCTGCTGTGCTGAGCCCCCAGCTCGCCCTGAGGGGTGAGGAAGGGGACAGTTGCTGTTCCCTGTCCTGCTTTCCCTGGCAGAGATGGCTCTGCAGGGTCAGGGTACCCAGCAGAATTTGGTCCAGGATATTTCCCAAGGTCAGACCTGGCCACGGGCGCATTCCCCCATGAGGAGTTCTGTGATGCCGACAGCGATTTCGTGGAGCAGATGGCACTTATTGCAAGGAGCAGCCCAAAAACTTTCTCCCTGGACACCACAGCTGTTTTAAAAGGGCAGAAAATGCTTTGTGAAGAAGGGATGCCCTGTGATGCTTTATTGCATCAAGCTGCACCAAGTCAGATACTCGCGGGGACAGGGGGAAAGCCGAGGCTGGAGCTGTTACAGGGCCATTTCCCTGGGATTGTTCCCCAGCAGGGCCTGGCAGCCACAGCCTCCCCATAGCAACTGCCACAAACAAAGCCCGGGGCTGCAGGGAGAGGGGAAGGGAACAGCCAAACTATTTTTGTATTTCCGAACTACGCAGCCGCTATTTTTTACTTTTGCGTGCTAAATGATCTCTGTGTGTGTGCGTGGTGCCTGTGCCTGCTGGGTGACATCCCTCTGCTCTCCTCTGCTTTCTCTCAGCTGAAGTCCCACCTTTTTGGCTGAGGAGCTTCATGTTTATTGAGTGAATGCATCTCTCTGTGCACATGTGCAGTGTTTGTTTCCCTACTGTGCTTATTTCTTAATAGTGGAAGTCTGTACTATTTATACCACACCCCAGCATCCAGCTGGTACCATCAAGTACCTCCTGGCAGAGCTGGGACATGCCCTGAGTGAGTGTGGGCACCCTCCTTGGGTTAATACATCCCTCCAAGGGCTGGGGACAGCCTGCCAACCTCCAGGCTGCAGGGGATCCCACATGGCTTCATGCCAACCAGGTGCCATCTCGGACATCTCTGCTCCTTATGTCCCTTGGAGACCTTCTTCTCATGGCCAGGCTTAGGCTCAGGAAGTGGGGATGGCACAGGGGAGGAAGGAGGGCCATCACCCAGCCGTGGGCCAGGGGACACTCACCATCTCTGCCAGGTAACCCGGGCTACAAGGGCTGCTGTTAACCCTCACAGCAGCTGCAATAGAATTAGTGGCAATTGCCCTGATTGATGAGACATTGACACTGAAATCTGGGAAGATCAAACCCCTGGACCCAAGTGAGGATCTGTGGGCAGTTTGGAGAGGTGAAGGTGTGAGCTGGCAGCCACAAACACCCAAAATCCTGGTGGCAAGATCAGTGCTCCAGGGCCAGCACTTCAGGGAGACACTGGAGAGCACCTCAGGAACCCCTGTGGGGACACGGATCTTCTGGATGAAGGGCAGTGATGGCCTGGGTTATGAGTTACAAAAACTAGGTAGGAGACTTTTCACTCCTCCATGTGATTCCTGGAGGTGAGGGAAATATTCTCTTGGAGACATGAAGACCCTCTGCAACTTTTTATGGAGTGTGAGAGAGAACAGACTAGTCTCCTTTTCACAGCCAGCTCAGGGGCAGGACCTGGACCAGGCCCTGGTGGCTCAGGGTTCCTTGTGGGGGTGGGATTTGACTCACCTTGACATGTCTGTGCTGTTTCCATCAGCACAGCACCCAAGGCTCCCTTTATTGTCAGTGGGAGAAATGGGTGTGTTTTTGGGCATGAGTCAACTGGCCTATTTTTGCTTTCTGTCTTAGGGTAAGGTGAATTCCTCTGGATTTTCCTCTTCCTTTCAGGGTGCTGTAAAGTGACAATTACCTGAAATAACTTGATGCCTTCAGTGGGTCAGATGAATTGCCATCCAAACTTAGTTACTGAGCATT